AGGAGCAATGTTGGCGAGTAAGATGTTGGAGTGAGGGAGACTGGCTGGGTCTGGCTGCTCTCACTCAAGGTGTTCTGAATGTGTTCATGGCCAAATGCTCCTATTATCCCATACGGGGCAGCTGCTATTGGCCCATACGAGGCAGCTACTATTGGCCCATACGAGGCAGCTGCTATTGGCCCATACGAGGCAGCTGCTATTGGCCCATATGGGGCAGCTGCTATTGGCCCATACGAGGCAGCTGCTATTGGCCCATACGAGGCAGCTGCTATTGATCCATACGAGGCAGCTGCTATTGGCCCATACGGGGCAGCTGCTATTGCCCCATACGGGGCAGCTGGTATTGGCCCATACGAGGCAGCTGCTATTGGCCCATACGAAGTAGCTGCTATGCGGTGTTCTGAATGTGTTGATGGTGAATGTATATAGTGTGTGACAGTGTATAGTGTGTAAATAGATTGTATATATACACAAATTAGCATGATACATAGTAAATATGTGCTGCATATGTGTACACAAGTTTCATGCACGTAACACAGTGTCTACGGACAGTACGGATGTTGTACTGCGATATTATAGTGTACGTGTTCATTATACATTGGATTGGCACATAAAAACAATGAAAATGTATTTGGAAAGGTGCGCAAAAAATGAACGAAAATATATTTGCGGCAACTCGCGCGCCCCGCCCCGAGCGCCCCACCTCCCCCAGTGAGCTTATGGCACGGGGGCACGGGGAATGATGACGTCACGCCCCAAGTTCCGGACCCCATAGCAGCCAAAGTAAGTACAATTTCGACTTTTTTTTTACATACCCATACTGAGGGAAGGGTTTTTGACACTTTAAAAAGAAAAAAGAATTTTTTCCAGAGAATTTATTTCCTGCGCACTGCGGGGGTGTCACATTTGGAGGCAACGCAGTTAAGGGGTTAAGAAGAAGGTTTTGGTGGTTGACAGTGTCAAAAGCTTTACGCAGGTCCACAAACAACCCAACAGAGAACTCATTTTTATCAAGAGCTGTATGAATCGAGTTAAGCATACTAATAAGTGCATCGTTAGTGCTTTTTTTGGGTCTGAAGCCATATTGGCAAGGGCTAAGTATATTGAGTTTGGCTAGATATGAGTAAAGCTGCTTATAGATTAGTTTTCAAAAATTTTTGACAAGTTTGGCAGGATAGATATAGGTCTGTAGTTGTTAACATCTGTGAGATTACCACATTTGTGGACAGGCGTTACTCTCGCTTTTTTTAGAATATCTGGGAAGGTTTGGAGTTCAAGTGACTTGTTGAAGAGCAAAGCAATAGCAGGGGCTAAAGATCTGGAGGCTTTTTTGTAAATTAAAGTTGGTATCTCCTCAAGGGCACCAGACTTGGTTTTAAGGGAAAGGATTATCTCATTGACGTCAGTGGAATTAATAGGCTTTAGGTACAGAGACTGTGGATAGTTACCTGAAAGATAGTCATTAATGTCTGTACTGGAAGATGGAATATCATTTGCAAGGGATGAACCAATGGAAGAGAAGAACCTATTGAACTCAGTAGCAGAATCAGAGGCTGAAAGCTGACCATCGTTATTAGACAGGAGAGTCGGTTTGTTATTTAAAGACTTCTTTGATCCCAATATTTGAGAAATTGTTCTCCAAGTTTGTTTAATGTTGCTCTTTATTTGGGTAAATTTATCTTCGTAGTATTTAGTTTTGGCTCGTCTAATTATCTTAGACAGCAATAATGAGTAATTCTTTGAGAATTCTTTGGAGACAATTCCTAACCTATACTTCTTCTCAAGGTCATGTTTTTTATTAATAGATTTAAGTATTCCCTTTGTAAGCCAGGGATTGTTTAGCCTTTTGGTTGTGACTTGTTTTGTAAGCATAGGACAGTGGGTATTATAAAGGCTAAGAGTTTTCTGAAGAAAAGATTGCACTGCTAGGTTGATGTCCACTATGTTACCTAACTCGGACTCCCAGTTGACATTCTTGACATTCGTTGACATTCAGTTGATACTTTTTCAGATGTTTTTTCGTGTTGTACGTTCAGCACCAACATTATAATGTAAATATATCATATTTATTCATTACTAACGTATGCCAGGAAGCTTTCTGAAGCTTGTGTAGCTTGTGGTAATTAGACGGACCGACACCGTCGTCTGCCGTCGTGCAGACGACGCCACCGCCCTCAGAAATGGCGGCTCCAAACCTTCTCTTGCTGTACACACGTTATATATAAGTATCTACATTTGTGTTCACCATAGCGAACCACTAAGCTGGTATGCTGAGTGCAGTCAATAAAAGGTGGACTATGCTTTAAGATATCATTCTAGAAGAAAATGTGTTTATTTTCCTGACATTGAAACAGTTGATAAACTCAGTACCTTCCTCCCTTAAGAGTGAGAGGCTTTAAGATATCACTATGGGGACATTGAAACAGTTGAACTTCTATGGGGAACTTCGAAATTTTTTTAATGAGTGTAATTGGACAGAATTGTTGCTAGGCAGGGAAGTAAATGAAATGTATGCCAAATTTTTAAAACTATACGAGGAAGGCACACAAACATTCATACCAAAACAGAGATGCAGGACCAGAAAACAGGATTGGTTCGACAGAAATTGTGAGAGGGCAAGAGACCAAAAGACACAAAAATGGAATCAGTATAGGAAGAGGCCAAACCCCCAAACATACCAGCGATACAAAGATGCGAGAAACAATTATACAGCAGTAAGGAGAGAGGCAGAAAGAAATTTTGAAAAAGGGATAGCAGATAAATGTAAAACAGAACCGGGCCTATTCTACAAATTCATAAACAACAAATTGCAGGTAAAGGATAATATCCAGAGGTTGAAAATGGGAAACAGATTCACGGAAAATGAAAAGGAAATGTGTGAAACATTAAATGAAAAGTTCCAAAGTGTGTTTGTACAAAATGAAATCTTCAGAGAACCAGACACAATAAGAATTCCAGAGAACAACATAGAGCGGATAGAGGTGTCTAGAGTTGAAGTGGAAAATATGCTAAAGGAGCTCGGGAGGAACAAAGCAGCTGGCCCAGATGGCGTTTCACCATGGGTTCTGAGAGAATGTGCATCTGAGCTCAGCATTCCACTTCACCTGATCTTTCAGGCATCCCTGTGTACAGGAATCGTAGCAGACGTGTGGAAACAGGCTAACATAGTTCCAATCTACAAAAGTGGCAGCAGGGAAGACCCCCTCAATTATAGACCTGTATCATTGACAAGTGTAATAGTGAAAGTATTGGAAAAGCTAATCAAAACTAAATGGGTGGAACACCTGGAGAGAAATGATATAATATCAGACAGACAGTATGGTTTTCGATCAGGAAGATCCTGTGTATCGAATTTACTCAGTTTCTACGATCGGGCCACAGAGATATTACAGGAAAGAGATGGCTGGGTTGACTGCATCTATCTGGACCTAAAAAAGGCTTTCGACAGAGTTCCACATAAGAGGTTGTTCTGGAAACTGGAAAATATTGGAGGGGTGACAGGTAAGCTTCTATCATGGATGAAAAATTTTCTGACTGATAGAAAAATGAGGGCAGTAATCAGAGGCAATGTATCGGAATGGAGAAATGTCATAAGTGGAGTACCACAGGGTTCAGTTCTTGCACCAGTGATGTTTATTGTGTACATAAATGATCTACCAGTTGGTAAAGTGGCTCCCAGAACTGAAGGGCAAGAGCTACGAGGAGAGGTTAGAAGCATTAAATATGCCAAAACTAGAAGACAGAAGAAAAAGAGGTGATATGATCACTACGTACAAAATAGTAACAGGAATTGATAAAATCGACAGGGAAGACTTCATGAGACCTGGAACTTCAAGAACAAGAGGTCATAGATTTAAACTAGCTAAACACAGATGCCGAAGAAATATAAGAAAATTCACCTTCGCAAATAGAGTGGTAGACGGTTGGAACAAGTTAAGTGAGAAGGTATTAATACATCTTCAGAAGGAGGACTGACTCCTACTGAAGATGTATTAATATACGAAAGTACTTAAGGAAATTCCTGTTTCAATTTTCCTCTATGGTCTGAACACTGTCATATATATATATATATATATATATATATATATATATATATATATATATATATATATATATATATATATATATATATATATATATATCGTACCTAGTAGCCAGAACTCACTTCTCGGCCTACTATGCAAGGCCCAATTTGCCTAATAGGCCGAGTGAATTTTTTATTTTCAACAAAATTTTTCCAATTGGTTTATTTGAATTATTATTATTATATTATATTAGAAACATAAATTATTGACTTAGTTATGTTAGTTTAGGTTAGGTTAAGATAGGTTAGGTTAAGTAGGGTAGGTTAGGTTCGGTCATATATCTACATTAGTTTTAATTCAAATTAAGCTAAATTAATTCATACATAATGAAATGGATAGCTTTATCATTTCAAAAGATACAATTTAGAAAAATATATAAAATCAGGAAAACTTGAATATTGTATAATAATACATCTTCAGAAGGAATGCTTCCTTCTGAAGATGTATTAATATACTAAAGTACTTCAGGAAATTTCTGTTTCAATTCTTCCTCCGTGATCTGACACTGTCACATTTTTCATCACGTGTTAATTTTTTTTATTTACACACACACACATATAGGCTTGTTATACACATATATATATATATATATATATATATATATATATATATATATATATATATATATATATATATATATATATATATATATATATATATATATATATATATTATATATATATATATTGTGTGTGTGTGTGTGTGTGTCAGGAAAATAAACACGTGATTAAAAATGTGACAGTGTCAGAGCACGGAGGAAAATTGAAACAGGAATTTCCTTAAGTACTTTCGTATATTAATACATCTTCAGAAGGAGGACTGACTCCTGACTTAGACTATATATATATAACATAAATACATATATATACATGTGAGGTACACTTGACATGAGTAAGTATGTAGAGAGTGTTATACCTGGCCATCATGTCGGAGGCGAGGTCACGGTGCCGAGCCATGGGGGTGTTGGACGAGGTCCGCCGCAAGGAGGACCTCATGGGTCTCTGGTGGGCCAGCGGAGAGTTGCTGCCTGAAGTGAAGGATGACCGACCCACCTGCATCCTAGATAACCCGTATCCTGCAGACTGTCCGTATCCAGATGACTGTCCATACCCAGACTGCCCATACCCGGAAGACTGTCCATATCCAGACGACTGTCCATAGCCAGAAGAGTGACCATATCCAGAGGAAGACCCATATCCTGAGCTGCACCCCGTCACTGTAGACGGTACAAGTACATTAATGTAAAGTAATTGTGTAAATTCAGATATCATGCTTTTTACAAAACAAGTTAGTTTAGTTCATTTATTATGCACCTCATGCCAATCTTGCTGGTGGCAGTGGAAAAGGTTATAGAGGCACATAATGGGCTTAGGGACTGAACCCCCACAATTCATTTAGCTAAGCAAGTTACAATCTTGATGAGCTAGTTACAAAATTCATACTTACAAAACAAGTTATCTATTACCATGTTATCAATAACAAACCTTTGGAGCAAGTGTTATATTGTTAAGGTTTATTGTAAATAGAGACCAGAAAACCATGAATTATTAAAGCTAGAAATATTCTATAAAAAAAATTCATAAATGTTCAAAAATTCCCACCAGCAATGGGAATTTTGGTATGCATTTTGGGATCAAAGACGTCTCAAGGGTTTCACACGGTGAACAACTCCAAAAAAAAGTTTCAAATACCTGCCATCCCCGCAAACCCTGCATACAGTTCTGGACATGTAGTTAAAATTAATGTGAAACATACTGTACTGTCAAAATTAGCATTGTCTTACCTGACTCTTCTTCAGTGGGGGGAGCTTGCAAGAACAAAATATTATATTAAAATTTTAATACATAAAAAGGAATCTATTAATAGATATTGAACACTTAAAGTTTTTCTTAGCCTGTGTCCTCAGCCATACATGTTAGACCAGGTCAGGGTCACACGATAGATTAGGTCAGATCCACCTCATCAACCTTTCTTTCTGACAATTGTAGTAATATCACTGTTTTGCTAGGCTCATTAGGCTATTAGCACCTAATTCTCATGAAGACCCATCTTCAAGCCGAGATTAGCACCACACACCTTCAATAATCAATGGGCGAGAAATATATTACATTGGTAAGATTGTAATACTGGTAAGGATTAAGAACAAAACTACACTCTCATTAGGGATCTTCACCTGATTTGAGCATCGAAGAGAGGTGCTTGCCAGCGGCCCGCCCCAGCGACATGGTGCCCGGCCGGCCAGGGGGCACCCCGCACGAGGCCCCGGACGACACCGATGTTCTCCTGGAGGAGGTGGTGGGTGGGGGGCTGGGGTGGCGCCCTGGGGGGTATACTAGCTGTTATCTCTACTGCCTCATACTGAGCCCTCTTACTTCCGCTACTGCCTCATACTGAGCCCTCTTACTTCCGCTACTGCCTCATACTGAGCCCTCTTACTTCCGCTACTGCCTCATACTGAGCCCTCTTACTTCCACTACTGCCTCATACTGAGCCCTCTTACTTCTGCTACTGCCTCATACTGAGCCCTCTTACTTCCACTACTGCCTCATACTGAGCCCTCTTACGTCCACTACTGCCTCATACTGAGCCCTCTTACTTCCACTACTGCCTCATACTGAGCCCTCTTACTTCCACTACTGCCTCATACTGATCACTGTTACCTCAACTACTGCCTCATACTGAACACTGTTACCTCCACTACTGTCTAATACTAAATACTGTTACCTCCACTACTGCTTCATACTGATCACTGTTACCTCCACTACTGCTTCATACTGAACAGCATTAAACAAAATACCTCATGCTGGGGTAAGATAATATAAATAGCTCTACCTCATACTGAGAAGTGCCACCTCCACTGCATACTAATAATTAATGTCTCGATTACTCCAAAATAAAAGGAAATTACCTGTACTACGTCATACTCGAATTTACCTGAGAGCCATTATCTAGTGGCCTCTGTGAAGACAGAAAGCCAGCAGCTTGTCAAACGTCCCCCCACCCCTCATTTATCCTGACAATTTTATCGATCTTGATTTTGAACTGCAGCCATGTTTTGGCCTTCATGACCTGCATGGGTAGGCTGAACACTACCTGTACCAGGTCATACTAAGGAACACTACCTGTACTACGACACACTAAGGAACACTACCTGTACCAGGTCACACTACCTACCTTGAGGTGCTTCCGGGGCTTAGTGTCCCCGCGGCCCGGTCGTCGACCAGGCCTCCTCCTCCACTAAGGAACACTACCTGTACCAGGTCATACTAAGGAACACTACCTGTACTACGTCACACTAAGGAACACTACCTGTACTACGACACACTAAGGAACACTACCTGTACTACGACACACTAAGGAACACTACCTGTACTACGACACACTAAGGAACACTACCTGTACTACGACACACTAAGGAACACTACCTGTGCTACAGCACATTAAGGAACACTACCTGTGCTACAGCACACTAAGGAACACTACCTGTACCAGGTCACACTAAGGAACACTACCTGTACTACGTCACACTAAGGAACACTACCTGTACTACGTCACACTAAGGAACACTACCTGTACTACGTCACACTAAGGAACACTTATGGGTGCACACACCCCCATAAGTGTGCGCTGTAACCCTGTGATCAGTGCTCATGCTACACCCAATGTGTTGGAGAACTCACCAACCACTGACACTCTACCGCACATTAGTAGTGTAAAATGTGTCAATGGTTTATCGACCATTTATATTTTTATCAAACTATAAGGCTGAATATCATATAATAATATATCAAACTGTTGATATACTTAGAGTTTAAGTGGACTATTACTACTTAATTTAAAGAAAACATATAACTCAATCATATAAAATGCAAACTTCTGGCACGTTATGATTGTGGGTACCTGAGGGCAGAGGAGGGCTGCCGTGGCGGCCATATGACCTGGGAGGGCTTCCATGGCGGCCATAGGACCTGGGAGGGCTGCCGTGACGCCCATAGGACCTGGGAGGGCTGCCGTGACGGGTGGCGAGAGGGGGGCTGAGCTCCCTCGCTCCCAGAGGTTGTGGCGTGGGCGTTGGACCAGAGCTGGGCGGCGGGATGGACGATATAACATCACTCTTTTTGGGTGCCCTCCATCCGTTCTGGCCAGGCTTGGGGGGCACGTACTGCCGGACAGAACACTCACAGTTAATATTATAGGGGACAGGTAGACAGGAAGTGGGAGTATGTGAAGATAACAGAATTCCTGGTGACTATGACCTAAAAGAGTGGTCTGAGGGATTATAACCAGTAGGATATGATACAATTTAAAGTACAGAATCACAAAAATAGATACATTTAACTCTTAAAAAACAGATGAGAAATGGACACTGCCTTTCGGCACGAAAGGCGGTGGAGTTTCTAATCGGGAAGGAAGAGACAATGGCGCAGCGCGTTCCGCAAGGTGCGGTGCAGCCAGTCTGGGTGGCATAAATAGCGTGGGAGAAGAGGTCTCGCCCTCACTCCATTCCCGCCATGGTCCGCGACTCACGAAGCTCCACGAACTGCACCGCGCCGCGCCTCAACGACACTTGGGTCAGTACTCTATCCTGCATCTCCAGTCTGCTTTACGGTGTACAAGGGACATCTCATGCAATGGATCTCATGCCCGCTACAACGGTCCCAGATCTGACGCTCCCTGATCCTACTGGGCCTTCGACCTCCCAGGCTGGTACGGCAGGGGCCCCCTGCCCTACTCAGCCAACCTTAAGGCAAAGAGAGATTTTCTGTTCAAGTTTAGTCAGGTCTGTCCCCAGTGCCGGCATGTGCCCAGCGCCGTCCCTCGCGGTCCGTACGTGCCGCCTTAGCTAGTTCTTTAGGGCCTTCCGCCTGTTTGCCTGTCTGGGGTATGCAGGTGCGCCCTTCAGGTCGGGACTGGTGCTGATGTTTGCTGCTGCCACAACGCCCGGGCCGGCGTGTATTCTGCGCCGTGCCTGTGCGGGCCACGCCAGGTAGTGCTTCCTCCCAGACGTGCACTAGGGGCACCAGTCTGTCGTGTTCCCTAGGCGTGCCCCTAGGGGCCCTGTTTGTGCCGCGCCCGGCCGTGGGTGCTCGGCCAGGCTCCCTACAAGTGGCCTGGCGTCACCCTCTGTGGCGACGCCACGTGGCCAGGTTTCAGTGGTCCTGTGCCCCTGGGGCCCGGCCCTAGGGGCCCAATTAAGCCCGGTAGGCGGCACCCACGTGGCTTGGAGCTCGGTGGAGTACTCGTCCCAGGTGTGTCCCTTGCTTCCTTCCTGCCCTCTTAGGCGTCCTTTCTGGAGCCTGGTATGCTGTGTCACCTAGGCTTGTCCCTAGGGGCCATAGTTCATGCCGCGCTCAGTCGTGCGTGGCCGGCCAGGCTCCCTACAAGCGGACTAGCGTCACCCTCTGCGGCGACGCCACATGGCCAGGTTTCAGTGGTCCTGGGGCCCGGCCCTAGGGGCCCAAACCCAGTAGGCGGCGCCCACGTGGCTTGGAGCTCGGTGGAGCACTCGTCCCAGGTGTGCCCTTCGCTTCCTTCCTGCCCTCCCAGGCGTCTTTCCTGGAACACAGTATGCTGTGTCCCCTAGGCTTGTCCCTAGGGGCCACGGTTCGTGCCGCGCTCGGTCGTGCGTGCCCGGCTGGGCTCCCTGGAAGCAGCCTGGCATCACCCTTGGCAGTGACGCCTCGTGGCCAGGTTATACTAGTTGTCTCTGTCCCTAGGGCCCGACCCTAGGGGCCCATGCCAAGGTCGGCATCACCCACGTGGCATGGCGCTCCATGGAGCGCTTGCCCTGGGTTGTGTTTTGCTTCCTTCCTGTCCCTCTTCCTCACGCCCACGAGCAGGAGACGCCCATGTGGCGGTGGTGTCCCGGTGGGCAGACCCCGAAGCTTCCTTGCCTAAGGGCTGCCTTTGCATCAGGGTTCGGCTTAGCCGAGAGCCTTCCCGGCTTCTGCTGTCTCTCCGGCCCAGGCTGGGGGCCACAACAGCTTCTATGGCCAGGCACGCAGTGGCTTGTTTGCCCTACGCCGCCCCTAGAGCCCCGGTTCCCGGGTTCTTTCCTGCTATGTTACAGGTGGCTGCCAGGTCCGACCGGTGTACCCAGGTACGTTTGTTCCCAGACGTTTCGTCTGATCGGTGTTGCCGGCACGTTTGTTCCCAGACGTTGTCTCGGCACATTGTTCCCAGACATCTTGTCTGACCGGTGTAGCCGGCTTGTTCGTACCCAGACGTTTTGTCTGGCTGGAGTAGCCCGGCATGTTCGTCCCCGATGTTTTGCCTGTCCGGGGTAGCCCTGCTTGTTCGTACCCAGATGTTTGTCTGGCCGGTGTAGCCCGGCTTGTTCGTACCCAGACGTATTTGTCTGGCCGGTGTCGCCCGGCATGTTCATACCCAGACGTTTTGTCTGGCCGGTGTAGTCCGGCTTGTTCATACTCAGACGTTTTGTCTGACTGGTGTAGCCCGGTTTGTTCGTACCCAGACATTCGTCTGACCGGTGTAGCCCGGCTTGTTCGTACCCAGACGTACACATTCCCTCCAGTTCTCCCTGTTCAGTTCTACTACCTTATGTGTAGGCGCCCTGCCGTAGAGCGGTCTGTCCGTTTTGGTGGGCTATGCTATGTTATTTATATTATTTATTTAAGCTTTTCTAAAATTCATTTATTACAGTGTTCAGCTTTCAGTTATGTCTTGTATTTACTCAATAATACTGTTGCAGTGTTAAAGCAGTGTCCATTTCTAGTGGGATACTCAAATAATTTTGATTTTTACTTTTGAGAATAACATTGTTTTAATTCTAACCAAACTATACCATGAATAATACTGTTTTAATATAACCAAACTATACCATGAATAATACTGTTTTAATCTGCCATCTTTAATCTTTAATCTTTAATCTTTTAATCTTTAATCTTTAATGCTGCCATAGGGCAGCATCTTGGGACCTCTTCTATTGGTTCTTATATACATTACACAAATGATCTGCCTAATGTCTCTAACATTCTGAAACCTATTTTGTTTGCTGATGATACTACTCTCATCTACTCCAACCCCAACCCACATACACTAAATGATGTTGTTAATAATGAACTAAAAAAAGTCCACTTATGGATGTCAACCAACAGACTAACACTTAACATAGAAAAGACCTACTACATCCTATTTGGAAGCAAATCTACAAATGCAATTCAGCTTCAGATTGACAATGTAAACATTAGCAATAAAAATGATGGAAAGTTTCTTGGCATTTTCCTAGACAAGAGACTCAACTTCAGTACCCACATACAACACATAACTAAGAAAGTCTCTAAAACAGTTGGTATACTCTCCAAAATCAGATATTATGTAACTAACTCTGCTCTCATCTCTCTATATTATGCACTAATCTATCCCTATCTCAACTATGGTATCTGTGCATGGGGTTCAACCACTGCAAACCACCTCAAGTCCATCATCACCCAGCAAAAATCTGCTATCAGAATAATATCAAATTCTGCTTTCAAACAACACACAGCCCCCTTGTTTAACTCCCTAAACATGCTAAACATAATCTCACTCCACAAAATTCTCTTGTGTCAACTACATTTACAAAACCCTGTTCTTAAATGCAAATCTTTGTCTGAAACTCTACCTGGACAGATGTAATAGGACCCATTATCACCACACCAGAAATAAATATCTATTTGATATGCCCAGTGTTAAACATAATCTGTGTAAACACTATGCAAATAAAGGGACCCAGTTTATGGAACTCACTCCCAACTGAATTGAAAAGCTGTCCAACTTTTACATCATTCAAAAGCAATACTAAAAAGTACCTAATTTCATCTTCATAGTTTTTCACTTTTTGCCTTAAAATTGCACTGTATCAATTGCTACCCAATCTCCCAACCTTTATGTTCCCAATTTGAACATCTTTACCATTATGATCATTGCTGTTTTCTTATATGTGCTGCCAATCTGTTGTATGGTGTTTATAAATCTTGTTTATCTGTATCTTTTGCTACCCAGTCTCCCAATCTTTATGTACCCAATCTGAACATCTTTACCATTGTGATCATTGCTGTCTTATATGTGCTGTCAATCTGCTGTATGGTGTCTATTAATCTTGTTTAAATTACTAATCAAGCTGTCAATGTAATCAATCAGAGCTTTAATATAACAATGTGCTTTAATATACTTACTTATCTCTCTCATCTCATTTTTCTCTTGTAATGTATCTTTATCATTTATCAATTCTGATTGAAATTACCTACTTAAAATTATCTGCTAGATTAAGGACCTGCCCGAAACGCTGCGCGTACTAGTGGCTTTACAAGAATGTAAATACTGTACTATCCAATGTATTCTCACAAACCCAATGTACCTTCTTGTATATATATAAATAAATAAAAATAAATAAATAAATCTATCCAAACTATCCCATGAATATTACTGTTTAATCTAACCAACCTATACCATGAATAATACTGTTTTAATCTACCTAAACTATCCATGAATATTACTGATTTTAATTGTTCAACTTTAAATACAAGTATCTTATTATTACTGCCTTAATCTATTTAATTGATTAGCTTCAGTTATGAATTGTATTTACTCTGCTATTTATTCTCTGCTTTTTCTAGCATTGCTTAAGCCTCATGCTTTTCTTGCTGTTTTATCGGCCTTGCATTCATGTTTTGTATCCATCACGGCACGTTATTCAACAGGGAGTCTGCTCCTATTTTGGCGTCTTTATTTATCTATATTATTTAACTGTGGTTTCAGATATAAATTTTGCATTGTTAGTTTCAGTTTGGTGTGTATGATGCTCTGCATTTTCCTCCTGCAATTTAGCTTTGCTTAGCTTAGCTTAGCCTTAGCTTAGCTTAGCTTTTGCTTTGCCTTTTGCCTTTAATCTTTAGTTCATTGGTCTTGCATTTGACTTGTACTCTTCTCAGCAATTTTGTTGCATTTTAAGCATGGCTCCTGCTTTTTGTTTTAATTTACTTATCTCTGGCTTTCCATTGATGTTTTGTTTAATCTTGCTTACAGTCTTGAGTCACTAAGTCCCTTTCAGCTAGGTCGTACTAGTTGTTGTGTATACAGGTTGGCCCCCCCCCCATTTCTTCTCCATTCCTCGTCCTATTTTTTCATACTTGCAAGTTATTCTATTTAAAGGTTAAATAGAATAACTGGCTATTAATAATAATTATTAAATGTTAAATAATAATAATTATTTAACTTGAACAATAGAATAAATTCTTTCATACTTGCAAGTTATTCTATTTTAATGTCAACTATTCCTTTGTTCTTAAGTACTTAAGCCCTTTCCTCGGGCTTGGTCCTGCTTTTTCTGTCA